GGGATCAGCCGGTCTCCGCCGCCTGGTACCTCTACTACTCAATCTAGAGTGTGACGAAGACTAAGTAACTCCTATGTTAACTTATAGTCACTCAAACTTAGTATGGAGCCTAAAAGGTATGAGTTGTACGCCTGTTTTTAGCAAACAGGGGCTCTCAACCACTACTCCTGCTAGGTTAACAAATTATGAGTTAAAAGCCAACAAACATTGGCGAATAAAGGGAAACAACCGGTACCCGCCGCTTGTTATCTCTACTACTCAGTTCCTTGGCGACTAGGTAATACTCATGTTTACTTGGTCAGACCACTTTCCTACTTGGTTAAATTTACAAATGACAGGACCGCCTGCCTAAAAAGGATCCAGACCTTAAAATAGTTCGAATACCGATTGGATAAATGGCCGACTGATCGTCTCTCCTGGAAACAGACAACCAGTCGTCCAGGGGCATAGGCGGCGTGACTAACTATCCGTACCTGTCTGCAACTATCGGCCATGTAAAACAGTCGGTCTAGTGAACAATTCGATATTAGAATATTCAATATACTTAGACAAATTTGAAGCAAAACAAAGATTCATTAAAAAAAAAAAAAAGAAGCCGGTCATTAAAGACCGGCAAAATATTCAAAGCCCCGGCCCCCTGGCCGGGTAAATACAAAACAAACGGCACGCAGGCCGTGGAAAGAATACATAAAGCTTAAGAAGGGGGCAGATCTTCAATATTAGCAGCTGCCGCCTGGTCAGCACTCTTCTTGCTTGACTCGGCTTCAGCTGCATCCTTTTTTGATGCATTACCCCCAAGCGGCACAAGCGCCACTACCGGCTCCTCCTCCTCCAACGCCTCCTCCAACGCCTCTTCCTCAGCAGCCGCCAGGATCTCTTGATTATATGTATCCGAACACTGGCGGTACGTTTTTTCCCATGAGGCAAAGTCGGCATTAGGGAAGAGGCGGCCCCAAGTCATGCGCTGGATTTGAGCGGAGTCTTCCATCATCTCCCGGACCAGCTCTTTCTTCTCTTGCTCGGCCTTTTCCGAGAGCTCCTGGGTAAGACTCTTCTCTTGGGTCACCAGGCGTTCCTTTACGTTGGCCAAGGATTTCTCCAAGGCTTCGTATGAGTACATCTTTAGGCGAAGAGGTCGTTTTTTCCCATGAGGCAAAGTCGGCATTAGGGAAGAGGCGGCCCCAAGTCATGCGCTAGATTTGAGCGGAGTCTTCCATCATCTCCCGGACCAGCTCTTTCTTCTCTTGCTCGGCCTTTTCCGAGAGCTCCTGGGTAAGACTCTTCTCTTGGGTCACCAGGCGTTCCTTTACGTTGGCCAAGGATTTCTCCAAGGCTTCGTATGAGTACATCTTTAGGCGAAGAGGTTTCAGCTCGGCCTTGAGATTGGTGATGGTCGCCTCCAGCTCGCCATTCCTCTTCTGGGCCGCCTCTAACTGAGCCCGAACAGCGGCGGTAGCCTGCGCCTGATAATAAAGAATATCAATGGTCAGAACTTCATTTTGGGCAATTTGAAACATTGCCTTATCACAGTTGGAGGCGGCCATAGCTTTTGCTGCCTTTACCTCTTTGTTCTTCCGGTCAAGCGACTTGCGAAGGCCGTTCACTCGGAGCAGGGCCTAAGTAAAAAGAAATAGGCATCAGTTTCCAAACAAAAAAGAAAACAGGCGTCCAGAAATTCAAATACTCAAAAATATGCTAAGTATACCTCAGCAAGGACCCCTGCAATCCCGTCTAGGTCAAGGGTGGCGACACCCCTGACCGCCTCCCTTTCAGCTGGAGGAACTGCCCTGATCATAGACTTGGCCATCTCTACCAAGTCAGGCTCCTGAGGGCCGGCTGCATCAAGTATAAACAAACGGATTAGACCTAGTAAAAAAGGGAGTGAGTCTAAAATTTACAAGGACAACTTCATACTTCTAGGCGGCCCAGTTGGAGTTTTAGAAGAAGTGGCCGGCTGTTTCTCAGCCGCCACATGTTTCCTGGCAGAACCAGGAGAGCTCGCAACAGTCGTCCTCCGGGCCTTGGGGTCCGGCTGTTGGGAAGATGAAGCTCTTGGAACACCCGTCTAAAAAAGAAAAAAAAAAGTCAGTATATGCATAAACACAACTCCAAAAAGAGGGTGAAAGGTTCGGAGCTCACCAAAGGTGCCCCCTTCTTGGGGGAGTCGGTTGAAGCTTGTTGCATGATGGAGGCCCGCAACATGGCCGCCGCAGTCTTGGCGGCGGTGATTTTGCTCATGGCGTCAGCTGCAAAAACAAACAGCAAAGTTAATAAAAGTCATAACAAGAAATATATGGAACAACAGAGTATTCGACAGGCCGACTACCTCTTGAGCACCGATTGCTGAGGCCACAGGCGGCCAAAAAGTACTCGTCTTAGAGCCATTTGAAGCTCGGGACGCAGTGCAGGGGTACTTGCTCTCGTACCCCTGAAGTAGAGTCGACCCTCGACTCTACTTTAAAGAGTCCTTTATCAAGGATCTCTTTCTTAGCCTTGGGGGGAACAGGCGGCATGCTACGGCCGCCTGCAAGAAGGGGCGGATTCCTGTTCCACCTATTGAAGCGCTTGTTCAGCTCAGTGTCTGAACTCTCAATGATGAGGAAGGTGCTCCGCCAGTCCTTCCACTTGTTTGCTTTACCTCTCGTCATGAGGTAGCCCCTGTGGCTTGTCAATTGATACCAGCCGGTACCGCCTGTCTTAGGGGTTCGGCTGAGATAGTTCATATGGGCGAAAGCCTCGAAGCTCGGCTCCACCCCGTGCAGTTCGCACCCGGCCACATAGCCGAGTACGTTGACCCAGGAGTTTGGGGCTAACTGCCATAACCCCAACTCATACCCATCCAAGATCCGCTGAACAGCCGGATGTAATGGGAAGCGCAGCCCTGCCTTGATGGCCGCCTCGTAGCAGCCAAAGCAGGCGCTATCATAACTGGAACCAGCCGGCCAGACGACTGTGTCTTCTGGATCCGGCACAAACACTAGAAAGTCGGGGCCCATGGTGTGGTTTGCAATAAAGCTCTCCACTTTCTCTTGCATGGCTGTGATCCGGCCCCGAGGTACCGTGCAGTAGTAGGGGGTATTTAGCTCTCGGTAAGAGGCAGATGGCTCCGCCCAATTGTCCCCCTTCTCAACTGCGTGAGAAAGTCTCGCCTCTTGCAGGCGGCTGTTTTTCTCTTCTGTGTCCAAAGAAGCATGGCCAGAAGAGCTTGACTCTGAATCGTCCTCTGACGAGTCCGAAGAGGACGACTCCTCCCCTCTCCCGGAGGGGCCCGCCTCCTCTCTTTGAAAAGGAGCAGAATTGTTAACTGTTAAATGGGAAGGGGTCACTATGACTCCTCCCACAGAATTGCCGGCTTTCAGGCCGCCTTGTTTCACTTCCACATCTGGCGCCTGGTCAGATGTTTCACTAAGCGGCACCCTGTGGGAGGAGCCGTCTGAATTTGAGATCCTAGCAGTCTTTTTCGTTCTGGCCATCCTGCTCTGCATAGACACAGATACAGTCGGACTTTGTATAAAGGGCAAAGATGGGTCCGGAAAAGGGCAGGCGGCACTCCTAGTCCTAGATTCAGCCGTCCCCGGTGACCGGCTGATCACTAACCTAGGTCGTGTCGTGTGCTTCCGTGGTGCCATTTCAAAAAATAAAAAGAAAATTAAGAGTAAGAGAACCGACTGTTACCTGAACGAGTGACGATTGATGAAGTGCTGAAAATCCTGTGCAGTCGGCTTGTCAGAACAGGCGGTTGGCAGAAAAGGTCCAAAATGTCAGAGCAAGTTCAGGGGTCCGAATGTTCTATCTCAAAGTTCTCAAGTGTGAAAATGACTCAAGACAATCCTCCCTTATATAGGCGAAGTGAGAAGGCGAAGGGTCACTTTCAGAATTCAAAATTTGGGCGGGAATATCTCTCGGCCTTTCGCCGACTGACACCTGTAGAAGGTCGTCGCCTGTTACAGTGCGACACCTGTCACAGGTAACACGTGACCAATCACGTGCCACCTGTGAGGGGCAAATGATTAGGGGATTTTGCTCCCACCAATCGGAATGCGCCACGTGGGCCAATCAGATCCTGCCAAGTGTCCCCCAGTTGGAACTGTCAGGGCTTGCCACGTGGCACGCGCTTATTCGTCCACCTTGGACCTATTATGTCATGACATGTGGCATACTCCATGCCTAATGGAGAAACCGGCCACCCAGGTCCAACTTCCGAGGGAAGCCCAATCAGCCCTAGGTTAACCTAAACCTAGGATGGGCACGTTTCCCAAGGTTATAAATACCTCCCTTAATCCTCATTAAGGGGGATTACGAAAAAACACATTAATTACACACAGTAATAACCGGCTGATCTCGCTAACAAAGCAGATTACCTACATTAAACACTCTCACCTAGAGAGACCCAATCACTTTAATTTCCGCATTAATTACTCCTTAATCAAGTACTAACTTGACCGTTGGAGGCGGAGCTCCCACCACCAGGAGTCTCCGTTATTTTGCAGGTACAAGCGTCCGGTTCTAGTCTCGGAATTGTAACTCTCCCGCAGGACATCAGAAAACCCCGAAACAGTTATGAGTAAAGAATTTTGGATCAATAATTATATTTGAGCTAAAAACAATGATATTTTAATTAATATTAGTGGGTCTTACACGAATGAAAAGATAGATTGAAAAAGTTACGGAGTAAATGATGATAATTTCACAACATTTTGGATAACGAGAAATTATTATAAGGTGAAAATCGATAGATATCAAAGTCACATAAACAAATCAGATTTTAGCGGCGACTCACTGAAGATAAACACAGTGTGTTTAAAGTTTAAATTGAGTATTAGATTCGACCTCTAGTATGTGTATCTTTATTGATATTCTAATAAATACTAGTGGGACACCTCTCATGAATGCAAAAATGGACGGACAAACAATGTTAACCATTGATAATCTCACAACATTTTGAAAAACATAAATTAAGATATTAAATACCACGTACAAATAAATAGATACTACGTATAATATGTTCACATTTTAAATCAGGTTTTAGCCTCGACAGAAGATTATCCATCTAGTGCGTACTATCTAAAACCTACAAAAATCCTCCTAGAAGGAGGACCAACCCACCCCAACCCACAAATATAAAAATCCTGAAAAACCCGAAAACGAAATCCCACAAACATTTCCTCTTCTTTAGTTTCCTAACCTGCAAAATATCATCATCAACAACATCAAAATCATCATTATCAATTCATCTTCATTTTTACTACAACCATCGCATACGGTTGTTATTGTCGGCGACAAACTCTGTCACCGGCGAATCTTGTCGGAAATTGGATATTTGAAGTAAAAGCAATCATCAATACTGGGTAGTGACGGCTCCGAAACTTGTCGATCCGGCAACTGTTGTCGCTGTGTTGATTGGCTACTTAAGCTTCTCAAAATGGACATCGATTCGCCTTCGCCGTCGTCGTTGCGGTCTCTTTCTCCTCGTCATCGAATCATTCAGGTATTGCTTTTTCTTCCACTTTTTGTATTTTTGGTTTTATTATTCCTTGAATATTGGATGAATTGGTTCAATAATTCAATTTTTTTGGTAAATGGTATGATAATGTTGTGCTTGTTTGTCAGACTTTCGGGTATTTTTTTATTTGTAATTATTAAATTACATTTTGGAGTAGTTCTATATTCAGTCATACCTAATTTAATTAATTTTGGAATCTGAGGTTAATTTATTATCGAATTTGAAGAGTGATTTCATAATCAATTGGCATATTTTTAGCTGTTTTGATGGCTGCAAGTATCGTGCTGAACCGTCATTTATTGGCGTCAAAGGTTGTGGCTTTCAGTTTCATTGACATTTGTTGTCTTGTTGACATTATGGAAAGGGTATTTTTTAGCTTGTACATAATTGCCATTAATATTCCCTACTCGACACGTCTGTTGACATAAGTTGGAGTTTGATTGTTTCAAACTATCAATAAGGAAATAAAGGCGGTGTAGTTGATATGTTGGGCTGATTGTAATCGTGCACTTGCTTACGAACATGATCCAACATTCTGACACTCAATGATGTTGTAGTGAGATTTTAGAATGAAACACGGTCTGGTTGTTTTATGTACCATGATCGGCTGTAGTATAACCATATGTATTGACAATACTGAGGCTATTTCTACTGAAATGATGCAGCAGTTTATCTTGTGTCCAAATTTTGGTGCTTTTCGGTGCATGTTACTTCTCACGCATTTTAGATAGAACCTTGGATTGATTCTTAGGTATGTTAGACACGCACCTTGGATGGACACTTGCAGTCTTATTTTGGACCCAAAAAAAAATGCAAAATTTCATATGATAGTCATGTTTGACACACTTTAATGTCCTACACAATTGATGCAAAAGCCCTATGTGGGTATTAGAGCTAAATTTGCAATTAGAATGCGGTGGAGCTTGGAGATGTTAGGAATTTTGAATTGGGTTGGATAAGTTGTAGGTCAGTTCAATTAAGTATGAGCTTTTGAGCTTTGGTTAAATGATCTTTTTATGGAGCTGTGGGCCATGACCATAAGAAACATTGTAGTATGGGATATCTTGTACTCCCCTTGTCTTTTTTTAGTTTTCTACCACTTTCCATTTTGGGGTGTTTTCGCTTTTTTTTTTAAGCTAACAACTTTTTACCATTTAGCTGATAGCATTTGCATCTTTACACTCACTACCTCTTACTATATCTATCTTTTTGCTCTTTCTTACTTTATCCTTCTTTTTGTAATACCCACCAACTTTCCTAGATACAAGTCTGCATAAGTAACCAAAAAAAAAAAAACAAAAAACAGGAGTTTGAAGTTCACACAGTAATTTCTGAATTTTATTATTGATAATGTTCAGAAGTGATATCGATTATTAATAAAAAACACAAGTTATGCTTTTGAAGGAGTTTTGGCTCTTAAATTTTTTTTTGTTGATGAGGGATTGTCAGTTTTTAAATGTCTCCTACGTGTGGAGAAGGTTTTTCTTACTTGTGATGGAAATTTTTAGTATCTATTTCTTATTGTCGAGTTGACAACTTGTACCATTTCCTAAAAAACGATATGAAATCTGCAGTGAAAAGATTTTTTTATTGCATCAATGCCTCTCACAAGGTTCCTGCCCTAGCGGAGATGGGAATTACCTAACCCTTATTGCATTGAGGGTGTCTCCATAAAACCTTTTATCAAAAATATATTTGTTTAAACAAAGATAATGAAAAAATTCCCCCTAAGCGATAATGTAGTAACGTTACCTTAAAGAGGATCAGGAAAGAGTGAAAGGGGAGTGCCAATCGCACTATGACGAGAAAGTCTTTGATGCATGAGAACTTCAGAGAAACCAAAATGGCAACTCTATCCCATGAGTGTCAACATGAAATTCTTGTGCTTTGAATCTCTCTCTATCAAGCCATTGGCACAACACTCAATAATGAGCCACAAACGCCGAGTATCATAGGTTTTATGCACCACATGCATACCCATACCTAAGCTGATATTTGCTCGTGCTCTTCAATTTTGAAGAACATCAATTAAACTACTATTTCACACCCAAGAAAGATGTGTTATTGTGACACTTTCAGCTCTGTTTAAAAAAAAACATCAAATTATCTCTGGCACAATTACTTGCACACAATTGCTCACACACAACTTCCTGTCTATGATTTTTGTACGTTCATCTCAATTTCACATTCTTTAAAATTCTTATTGTCTTCTGTGACAGAGACTGGCAATAATTGGAGTTTCTGAGGAGTATCTAGAAGATCTTCAGCCTGGTTTGGTTCGTTTCATAAAATTCAACAAGCACCTGTTGCCTGATATAGTCTCAGCCATTTTGCCTACAGACACAGATATTGAAGGAGTGGTTGGTGATAGAAAATTTGGGTCTAAGAAGGCTCTGGATCATCCTAATTTGAAAGATGTCTATAACGAAAGCATGATTTGGCTAAAGTGGTTGATGTTTGAGCATGAACCGAGTATTGCTCTGAAAAACCTGGCTAGTTTGAATGTTGGTCAGCGTGGTGTGTGTGGTTCTGTTTGGGGGAGGAATGATCTAGCATTTCGGTGTAAAACATGTGAGCATGATCCAACTTGTGCAATCTGCGTTCCATGTTTCCAGAATGGAAATCACGAGAATCATGACTATTCAATCATATATACTGGAGGGGGTTGCTGTGATTGTGGTGATGAGACTGCCTGGAAACGAGAGGGCTTCTGTTCAAAGCACAAAGGCGCAGAACAAATACAACCTCTCCCAGATGAGATTGGCAATTTAGTTGGACCAGTATTAGATATTCTTCTCAGGTGTTGGAAAGGTAAATTATCAGTTGTTGAAAACATGTTGAGAGGGGATTCAGTCAGCAAACATGACACAGAGCCAAGAATAGTAGCTAATGCGTTTTCCTATGTTGTGGTGGAGATGCTTCTTGATTTTTGCAATCAAAGTGAAAGTTTGCTTAGTTTTGTTTCTAAGAGGTTGAGTGACACAGTTGATTTACTATATATGTTGGCAAGAGCTGAGAGGTTCTTAAGTGTTGATGCCGCAAAGAAGTTGCATGAGTTGCTATTGAAACTTCTGGCTGAACCTATATTTAAGCTTGAGTTTGCTAAGGCATTCGTTGATTATTACCCTGCTCCTGTGGCTGAGGTTCTAAGGACATCGAGTGATAATGTTCTTAAGAAATACCCTCTAATTTCAACATTTTCTGTGCAAATTTTTACTGTGCCAACACTAATACCATACCTTGTTAAAGAACGGAATCTTTTGGCTATGCTTCTGGAATGTCTGGGTGAAATTGTCTTTTCTTGCTGTGGAGAAGATGGTCAGTTTCAGGTAATTTGCTTTTAGTTTATTAGATTTCTGTGCTGTGTAATTTTTGCGTTCGTATGCATCGTCATATGAGCCTGTTTGTTTAGTGTAGAATAATGGACATGCCAGCTTTTTTGTATAATTAGATTTAAACTCTTTTGTTTTTGGGGACAGGGGGAGTTGAGCATTGAAAGCTTATTAGGATATGTTTCATTAATTGTATCTTGTGCCATTAGATTTCTCTGTTTGGTATAAAGCCATTAGTAGTAAATCTTATTAGTTAAATCGTCTAATAAAGTAATAGGGTATTGCAAATTAAATTATCAAAATTTAAAACTACTTACAAGTTGAAAAACCCTTAGTTCCTCTAGACAGTAGCACTACAAGTGAGGCTAAGAACTTTCATGGAATAAATTTTGAGGTTGGGAGTTACAGAGTAGGAGATCCCAACAAGACCACCACTTTGCTTTTGAAAATAAAATATTTTCAATTTTAAATTAATTTTCAAGTTTGTATTTCAATCTTTATTTTATATTTATAATTACATGTTGATTTGGTCTTTCTTTGCCTAATTGCCGTATGATGACCAAAGAGACTGGTGGCATTTATAAATGCATTAAAATTTAAATAGTATCTTGTGGTTTCAAGATTCGAAGTCAACCTTGTAATGCAATCATACAAGTCCTATTACTTAAAAACTTATTGATTTGGATTATCAATATTTCTTTAGATTTTAGGGTGAGCAAAACTGGGTACCCTGTATAAAAGGATGGAACTGGAATTGGAACTGGTTAGAACCGGGTCCAAGAAATCGGAACTGGTATTGGAACTGGTTCTTACCGGGTCCAATAATTGGGGAATCGATCCAGAACTGGTGGGAACCGGTTCCAGAATCGGGTACCCGAATTCTTCATACTTTTTTTTTTTTTTTTTTTACTTGTATTATTATTTTCTAAAACTAATTTGGCTACCATTCATCTAATTAACAAAAGTAATGATAATAACTTGGCTAAAAATTGGAGTAAATTCGAATGCATTAAACAGAAAACCCACAATTTATACAAATTCATAGAGTGATACTCCACAAATCCACTTCTTTTCAATTAAAATCATGCTGGAAAAAAAAAATTATCTACGAAACAAACCTGTTAAACAAGATTGAATTAAAGTAAAGAGTAAGAGAAACAGAATATATAAAATTGATTTAAAATAAGAAAGATTAAAAGAAAAAAAGAAAGAAAAGCTAACTTTAATAATATGGGACATTTGAAAAGAATGAAGATGAATGTGAAAGAAAGAAGGAAACTAAGGGGAAGAGAGCAGTTTGACTAAGGGAAAGAAATGAGAGTGTGCTGTTGAATAGTTTTCTTTTTTAGGGTTTTTACTTTTTACATAAGGTTGTTAGGTTTAGATCAATAAGTAAGAGAGGTTACCGGGGGCCTTAGTTAATATAGGCTGCAAAAGTTCTTAAGCTCCTCAGTAGAAACTAGTATGGAACCAATGAAATCGGGTACCCAGTGAGTACCAGGTCCAAAAATTCAAGACTTGGAATTGGAGCTGGATTGTACCGGGTCCTAATTTTAGGAACTGGACTCGGACCCAGTTGCACCGGTTCCGGGTCTGGAACCACCGGGTCCATACCGGTTCCAATTTTGGATCTGGGTACCCACAATTCTTGCTCACTCCTATAACCAACCACATTTAGAGATCGAAGTTGAAAATCCCATCTTTGACTAATGCTCATAGAGGCTTGTTTGTTGTTCTCTTTCTCCATTGCAAAATTCTTAGAAGTAGCCTCCTTTTCTTTATCTAGGGCTTCATAATCATATTCCATAGTTGGCATTTTTCTCTATCTGCCAAACTCAAAAGGTATCATGCAAAAGATAGGTTTCCCCACACTTCTTTTGGCCACTTGGAAGCATTTTGCTTATGTTCTCAAAGTGTTCTTTTGACGAAGAGTGATGAGTAATGTTACAAATCTAGTAATCGTGAGTTTTGCAATTGTCTTTGATTTGTGAATCTCCTCATCAGAAGGGGTGAAAGTTCGATTTTCGGTTTGGATTATGGCCCAAACTGAAATACTTTGGTTTTAGATTTTTCAATCCAAATCCAAAACGTACCGAATTTCTTATACTCAAACTGAATCCATTCGGAAAACTGAAATTTTTTTAGCCTAATTTTTAGATTTGCGATATTCATAAAAAAAAACCAAGCAAATTATATGATTTTGAAGACATATGAACGATACATAAATTGACAAATAATCTTAACATTATATTTTATAGCATTAATTCTTAGAAGGATTAAATTTGTCACCAATAATTTTGACATACAATTTACATAAAATAAAAACTCAGATCTTGTTGGCTTGTTGCTTGCTTCCTTATTTACACCTCTAGCTCATCAGAAAGAACCCTTTGAAACGCGGCGTGTAAGAGGAGAAAAGGATGAACCTAATGAATAACGAAGTCGTCGGCGACCAATCACTTATTTGGTGTTGATTAATCAATTCAGATTGAAGCTCAGAAAGAGACAGGATGAGGCCAGGATAGGAGAAGAGAGACAGGAGACAGGGGAGATTGAGTGAGAGAGAGATAGAAGTTGCGTGAGATCAGAGGGGAGAAATAGTGAGAGAGAAGAGAAGAGAGAGGAAGTGGAGTAGCGTCTGATAGAGGAGAGAGAAACTAAGAATGGGGGTTAGGTTTGTTTTTAGTTTATATATTAAAGGCTTGAAGGGTCTTTGTGAAAGGGTGAGATGAGCTCATATATTTGGGCCTAAAATTCGGTTTGGCCAAAACCAAAAATCCGAAATTTTAATTTTTCCAATATGATCCGAACTGAATTTTAAAAAAAAAAAATCTAATTTGTTTGGTGTTAATCCGAATACTACTACTCTTACTCATCATGTTCTAAAGAGAACTATTGCTATATATATATTCTCAATAAAAGGTTGCTACTTTGTTCCCCTACACTTCATTTGGCCAATTGAAAGCATTCCGCTTATGTTCTCAAGCCTTTCTTCTTTCAAGCATTTTTGACCCTTGGAAGTAATCCAATATTCTCAAACATTAAGCCAAAGTTGACAAGGAAGTTTACAATATCCTTTTGGACTATCTAATTACGCCATTTGTCGTTAAAAATTTTACAACCATTTGTTGCCCACTGTTTTTGCTCCTCTAGTTGGTTTTAGTGTCATCTATTTTTTAACAGGAGAAAATTTCTAAACTCATGCGTACTTATTGGCTTTAATCTGGGACCATATTATCATTTGTTTTGTTTATCACTCCAAAACTGTAGCTGCATTAAATGCAAAACCAGCAAACTACCATTCTTATTTAATGTGGTTATCATATACTCCAAAGATGTCATTTCTTTTCTTTCTTTGTATCAATGTATCTTTGGGATTAGTAACAAAAAACACGGCTCTAGGCCCCTTTACATCCAATGGGTTTGCTTCTTATTTGACCCGAGCTACCCCCTTTGAGTTCAATGTTACACAATCCACCTCTTCCTTATCAAATGTCATCAACATCAACATCGAATTTATTATATCTTGGCATTATCAAGAATTAACTTTAGCTTAAGCCGTTAGGCATTTTAAAACATTAAGGATTTCACCTCCGCCCTCACATGCTTGTGATACCTAGAGTATTTAGCCACATTCCTGAAACCTTCTAGGCTTCTACAAAGAGTTGCTTTAATAGATGTGCCCCTCCCTTTGTCACATCAACACAAGGTCTACAATGCCAAATTATCTTTTTCTATGACGTGGCTTCCCACTTCCTAGCCAGATTCAAATCTGATAAATTGTGGAAGATGTTTTGGATTCTTCATTCATCTTAATAAATCAATAGGAAGAAAGTTGAATTATATAATTTAAGCTGATATAAAGGAAATTTCGTATTTTACAACTCCTCATAATACCACCTTTTGATTTAACCACCCTTTTTTTTTTTTAAATTTTTTTATTTTTTTTATTATGTATATTAAAATACCACCCCTTAAATTAAAAAAGTTAGAGTTCATCACCTGTTGTACCGGCCGTGGGGCCCACTTTTATAACTACCGTCCCTTTTTCCACTATTTCCAATAGCAAAATGGCCAATTAACCACTGATTAAACATATAAAACCTAATAAATATTATTACTTTGCAGTAATAGTTCATCTTTAAGAAATCCCCAATTTCATTTACATAAACCCTAATTTCTCCTACCACTTAAATTGACTATTTCACTCAACAATTAAGCAATTAAAGGAGCAATTCACCACAATTTCAAAAACAATTAACCTAATAATTGGATTGCACATGATTCTCCGACGATGAATACGAACTCCATGCATGTGTGCTGCCAATGAATCACCTCTGCCACCATCACCGCGGCGCTCCACCCCAATTTCTGTTGCCCCTTGTGCTGATGATGCAACTGATTATTGCAGTTCTAATGATGATGTTGTCCTAATTTCTCTTCTCTCTTGCTTCTGCTTCAACTACACACAAATTTCCCCGCAAAATCCAAACTTTCACAACCCAAAATCTCACACTTCCTATTCCTCCCACTTTTCCAAAAGCAGAAAAAAACTACAGTTTAGCGCTTTTGTTCTTCGACCTTTCTAGGGTTTTGATTAGGGGTGTTCACGGTGTGGTTTGGATCCCAAACCGCAAAATTGCGGTTTGTAATTTTTTCAAACCGCACCAAACCGTAACGCAAAATGCGGTTTGGTGCGGTGCGGTGCGGTTTGCGATTTAACCATATTTATTTAAAATTATAAAAAAAGCTTTTATTATATTTTGTGATTTTTAATTTACAATTCAAATATTAAACTCTTTTTTTTTTAACCTTTAATTAGCTAATAGTTAAAGATTAGCCCATATTTTTTTGGTTCTTTTATTCTTTATTGCACCATGAGCGATTTTACGCTTGCTAATGCATTACTTTAGCTATTAATATCTTCAACTATACTTTTGTAAAAATAATAAAAAATTGATATTCGAAAAGTAGATTTCGAAACGAATCTAACTAGATACCACATGACTATGTTTTTCGTAATGGATAAATCACAAATGGTGGTCAAAGAATATTAAGTGAATAGTCTCAAAGTCCTTATGGTGCAATAAAAGCAAAACGGAGGAAGTATATTTTTTTAATAAAAATATAGTATATAAATCGCAAACTGCATCAAAGTGCGGTTTGGTCTAATTTTTTTTTTTTTTGGAAACCGTGCCGAACTGCAAACTACGGTTTGGTCATTTTCAAAAACCGCACCGCAATTTTCAAATCTAGACCGCACTCTGAACAACCCTAGTTTTGATGAGATTAATATCTCCCCGTCTTAGGTTAGTTGAGAGAGAGAGAGAGAGATCAATTTCATTAATGTATGGGAGATTGAAGGAATTGACAAGAAGATTTAATGTTGGAGGTTGAGTGAATTCAATGGAGGTTAAAGTAGGGATTTAGTAGTGAATTAAGGAGAAATCGTGGAAATAAAGGTGAAAAGGGGTGGGAAATTTAAAAAGTGGGGCCAGGCAAAGGGTGTTCAAATCGAAATTTTTTAATTTTATGGGTGATAATTTTATTTTATTGTATTTTTTATTATTATTTTTTTTTTAATAAAAACGGGTGGTTAAATCTAAAATAGGTGTTTTAGCGGGTGGTTATGTACAATTTTTCTTGATATAAATTGCGGAGAAGAAAAGGAGAAGTAGTGGCAGAAAAGAAAAAAAGTACTACCTCTTGATTATTTTGTTTGACTAATTTACTGTAGATACGTAGTTTAAAAAACCTATGAAAATGATGAGTAGTCGTTAGAAAAAGTAAGAGAGTGAAAACTGGGTGGGTATAAGATAAAGTAAGAAAGAGATTGTAAAAAGTAAATAAGGCCATGTACTTCTTCACCTTATTTTTGCCGAATAGAAATTATTTTTACTAAATTGAAATTGATTTTACTAAACTTAAATTATTTTTACCGATTCCTATATTTTTTTTTCTTCGTTAGAGTTATTTATTTTACGAAACTGAAATTATATTATCAAACTGAAATTATTTTACTGAATTGAGCTTATTTTTCTTGAATATTTTTTTTTTCAAGGTGAAGTGAATAGAGTCTAAGAGGGAGAGGGTGTAAAAAGGTGGGTTAGTGTAAGATAAGAAAGAGAGTGAGTTTGATAAGTTTTCATTATTGAGGTGTAAGATGGGTATGATGGCAAAAGTAGTGTGCCAACAATGGAATAAACTAAAGTGAGTAGAACTTAAAAAAATAATAACCATAAATGGAAAGCGAGTAGGACAAAAAAAGGTAGTAAAATATACAAATAGAAGTAGAAGCAGGAAAGAAGCAGAAAAGAAGATAAAAACTGGAAAACAGAAGAGAGGGAGAATCGGAATCGGAAAAGTTAAGGAGAAGAAAAAAGGCTGATAAGAAGAAAGAAATGATATAAAGATCTAGAGAAAAAAAAAATGACAGGAGATGAAGAAAGGAAAAATATGCCTGAAATCACCGTCTTTAAAGGACGGGGTTTTGGTTAGCTGGGTGAGTATATGGCTTTTTATAAGTAATAATGTGTTTTTTTGTCAGTTATTTGCCTGAATGTTCTGCATCTCTCATTTTCTTAATTTTCTTGAGGGATATTATATATTTTAAAATAACCAGCTAGTAGACATTGCTTTACATTTGCATTCTCATGCGTTTGGAAATTTTATGCAGTTTAACAAGTGGGTTGGTGTGTTTGATACATGTATCCGTGTGATGGAAGACATAAAGTTTGTTGTAAGTCATTCTGTGGTAGCCAAGTATGTGACACATGAACGACCAGATATTGTCAAAGTTTGGTTGCAGATTTTGTCTTTAGTGCAAGGCATGAACCCTCAAAAGCGAGAGACTAGCATCCACATTGAAGAAGATCCTGATAATACACACCTGCCTTTTATTGTGTGCAACTCTATTGCTAGCATTCATTTGCTTCTAGTGAAGAGTGCTTTCTCTGCTGCTGATGGTGAAGATATGGATAAGGAGGCTTCTGTTGAGAAAGAAAAATTAGATACTGATGATGGATATAGTCAGAGACATGCTAAAGTTGGTAGACTTTCTGAAGAAAGCTCCATCTGCAGCTCAGCAGCTGACAATAGTACATCAGAATCTTCATCACAGAAGTTTGATGTTACGCGTAATTTTGTAGTCATACCTGCTGTCTTGCAGCTGACATGTGAATCAACAAAGGCTATTGATGGTTGGTTGGCAGGGAGTAATGTTGTATCTCATGTCAGTAGTGACATTTCATGTTGCAAATTATCAGCGTTCAAGGAAGCCTTGTTGAGTATCAAGAGGGGAACATGCGTTTCAGGCCTATCTGACGGCTCCTCAGTGACTAGTGCCTGTCCAATGGAAACTGGGGATATTGAAAAGGATGTGAGTAATATGGAAACAGGAACATCTGCTGAAAAAGATGCCTTGTCTTTGTTGAGTTTATCTGATTGGCCAGATATTGATTATGATGTAAGTTCTCAAGAGATATCATTACATATGCCCTTGCATGGATTACTGTCTTTAGTTTTGAAGGAGGCTCTTAGGCACTATTATGGTGAATTTGTACTGACAGATAAGGGTGACTTCAGTTATCTGAATCCTTTATCATCTGATCACCTTGATTTCTTCCGAAAATTACTTAAAGGCTGTCATCCCTATGGATTTTCTTCTTTCATGATGGAGCATCCACTGCAAAGCAGGGTATTTTGTTCCCAGGTTCGTGCTGGGATGTGGAGGAAAAATGGTGATGCTGCAATATTGTGTTTCAACTGGTATCGTTCTATTCGCTGGTATGTTTAATAGTTATCAATCTATCTAACACTGTACATTAATTCTTGATATGGTGTTTCCTTGCATAAGTTGTTGGGTATGGCTGTCAGAGTGTATGCATATCAGCATATGGGCGGACAATATAGCGCATGTATATCAAGGAATTGTGTGTTGCCACTGCTTGCTCATTTGTTTGTCAAAAATTTCCTTCTTTGTTTGCAGGTCTGATCATGAGCTAGAGCTTGATCTATTTTTGCTGCAGCTATGTGCTGCATTTGCTCCAGCTGATCTATATGTAAGAAGAATCTTAGAACGGTTTCAATTGTCCAATTACCTTGCCTTGGATCTCAAGCGTTCTAGTGAGTATGTCATCTCCTCAAACCTCATAGAGATTATTTTTATTTTCTGAAGTACTTCTTTGGAAAAGCTTATGAACTTGTGCTTTTAAATTATCCCTTTGTGCCTAGAGATTCTTCAATGCAACTAAATGATAAAGGCCTTTTTCTTTTCATCTGATAAATAAAGTTTCAGGAAATAATTTTAGAACCTTGGTAATTCCAGACAAGGTGTTTTACAAAGCCTGTGTGGCTAAGCCTGCTATTATTATATGACCTTTGGTGCAATTGCTTGCTTACCCCTTTTGTTGTATATGTATTTGTAAAATGAGCTGAGAGCTCAAAACTCTTAGTGAACAGCTTGAGTTCAGCTAAATCTTGATGTTCGTTTATCTAGTAACCAAAAATTTGGTCTTTTGTGTTGACGAACTATATTAGTGTTTAAGGATTATCTGATTATTTCTGTTAACATGGGGGTGTAAATGAGCTGAGAGCTAGTCTCAAAACTCTTAGTGAACAACATGAGTTCAGCTAAATCTTGTTTATGTTTGTTTATCTAGTAAACGCGCTGAACTTGAACATGTTTTGGAGCTCGTCTAATAATGGTGCTTGTAGGCTAACTTTGCCTCCTTTGGCCCTGGGACCCACGAACTAAGAAATACTTGTTTATATATGTTCATGAACAACTTGTTTTCATATGCGTTCATGAACTATTCGTTTGTAATGCTCATGAAATAGCTTGTTAGTTTGTTTTTCCAAAAAAAAAAAATTAAAAAAATAAAAAAAAATTGAATGATTATACTACTACCAATTTTAGATATAACCATATGTAGATGTGTTTTTCCATAATATGTTTGCATCAAAGAAAATTTTCCAAAATTAAATGAACTGTAGGATAAAGATCTTTTTATAAATAAAAATTAAAACCTGATTATTGTATTTATGTTTTAAATAATTTTTGAGGCATTGAAACGCAATGTTTGTTTATGAATAATACTTTTTTTTCCTAAACAAAGCTTGTTAGGAACTAAGCTCATTTGTGATCTCAACTCAATTAATAAAGGAGATGTTTATGATTTGAAATTGAGCACAATAGTTACTAAACAAACCGATCTTGAGCAAAACTTTAGCTCTGGCTTATGCTCCCTTTATTCAAATGAATATGAGCATAAATAGGATAGTACTTGTTTCGTTTATACCACAAGTTATTATGAAGAAACTGAACATGTTGAGTGAAAAGTTTTTTTCTTTGTGTTGCCATAATTTGTCATTACTGAACACCAATATTGAGGCTTCTGCCTGGGTAAAGTGAGGGAAGCTAGTCATATATGTGTGCATTTTTACCTGTACAGCTGGATCTTGATTTTTTTTTTTTTTTTTTTTTTTTCTGGTAGACCCTTAATCCCAAAGGCAACTGACCAACCTATTGTATAATGACCTTTAAAATGGAAGGAAATATAGGTTAATTCTGTGAGACATTTGATTTAAGCCATTGTAATCTTGAGCTAATTTATTGCTTGTTCAATACTCTTTTCAACTTTGTTAGAATATGTGTTTTATTCGTAGTCTGTCTAAGCCTTATCCAAGTATCACTAAGGCTTTCAAAAGAGATACTGCAGTGATAAATCAAATTAGCACATTTATTTGTATTTTATACCTCTTAACTTGTAAATCATTTATTATTCTGGACTGACATCATGTATGACTCCATTTGGTCTTTTGCTTCAGTTTAGGCTTGTTTTGTTCCCATGTTTTGTTGCTTCATAATGATTCTTATCTTCTCTTACTAATCAAATTGGCTTACTTTTTACTGCCATATTTGCAGGTATGAGCCTGTTTTAATGCAAGAGTTGCTCACCCTAATAATACAGATAGTCAAAGAGAGGCGATTTTGTGGACTGACGGCATCTCAGAGTCTGCAAAGAGAACTGGTTTGCAAGCTTGCAACTGGCGATGCTACTCACAGTGAACTTGTGAAGTCTCTACCTAAGGACCTATCGAAACTGGATCAATTACAGGGGGTCTTAGATAGAATTGCTCAATACTCTAATCCATCAGGACTAAATCAGGTTTGCCCTTTCTTCCTGTTCTTTTCCCCTTTCTATTTCTGTTTTGTGTCTATATATTTGATGCATCCTTGCTCATAATCTATGTATTTCAGGGAAAGTACTCTCTGCGAATGCCATATTGGAAAGAACTAGATCTGTACCATCCATGTTGGAACCCTAGAGACTTGCAGGTTGCTGAGGAAAGATACTCTCGTTTTTGTGGGGTTTCTGCCCTTAGTGCTCAATTGCCTAAGTGGACCAATATTTATGAACCATTGATTGGAATAGCTAGAGTAGCTACCTGCAAGACTATTATCCAGGTCATTCGGGCTGTCCTCTTTTATGCTGTCTTTACAGATAGATCAACAGAATCACGTGCTCCTGATGGAGTACTTATAACTGCGCTGCACTTGCTTTCTCTAGCACTGGATATTTGTTCTTTAGAGAGAAATTCTGGCCATCAATCTACTCATTGTGGGGAGTGCAGTCTGTTAGTGGATGTTGCAACTGATGAAATTGAAGTGGGTTTGCATGATGGATCTAGTCATCAGAGTTTACTGTCACTTCTGGTCATATTGATGAGGATGCACAGGAAAGAAAACATGGGCAGCTCAATTGAAGCAGGGAACTTCAAAATTTCTTCCCTAGTAGAAATTCTGCTGAAGAAATTTGCTGACCTAGACTATAAATGCGTATTGAAACTTCAGCAGTTTGCTCCTGAAATCGTTAACAAAGCTGATGACACAGTGAGCAATTCAGCTTCTGACGCTGAGAAGAGGAAGATGAAAGCCAGAGAACGACAAGCTGCCATATTGGTAAGACATCATGTCTCTTCTTCCTTTTCCCTTAAATAAACTTGCACTTTTCTTTTGGTTTGGCACTGAGATGAAGTTAATCATGAACTAAATTTGGTTATGGTCAGAGAGAGGTTAAATGCAAGAGAAATTGTTTGGGATGGAGACAAAGTGGTTGATGTGTAAGAAAGGGAAAGATTTACTTGATAGAGATATGTGGAGTTTGTTTTGGGACCTTCTAAAAAAAAATTGTGTAGTTTATTCAGGGAAGGGGGGAGCAGTAAAAGTTCAATTTCAGCACTTTTGCATGATAAGATGCTGATCGCTGAAATTGGGTGATTAAGTAGTGCAGGAAACAAAAGTCAGCTTGTCAAATATGGATTCTTACCTAAGCTGCTCAATTAACAATTTTAATTTGTACAACTTTCAGATTTAACGTTTATTTTTACAAACTTCACTTGGATACATCATTGTATAGACCTAGATACTCTCTTGACTTTTTTGTATCACTATACAATAAAAGTCTCTTGTGAGTTGTGATTGTTGTTCATAATATGATTTGCCTTGGTTTGCTGCGCAGGCAAAAATGAAAGCTGAGCAATCTAAATTTCTGGCAACCTTGAAGTCTTCAGCTGATGCTGGGTCAGATGATGCCGGTTTTGAGAAAGATGAGCATGCTTCTAATGTACCACAAGATTCCGAAGAAACACATGTCTGTTGTCTTTGTCATGATCCTAATTCTAGAAATCCAGTATCTTTTCTTATTTTGCTTCAGGTATGCTGATTTCATCCTCTTTTATTCCTTTAAGTGTAATAGAAGTCTTTTATTTATTTCTTGACGGAATTTTTTAAAATCAAATTAATTAATTTATTTTAACAAAAGGGCTTGCTTGGGTGGGTCAAAAATCCTGTTGGAAAATGAACTCCAAATTACTTCTCTCTCTTTTGGCTTCTTTTTGGGGTTGAGGAGGTTGGAGTATCTGTCAAGTCCTCCTTAATTATAAAATGAGGAAGAAAGAGACAGTCATTGCATGTTTTTGGTTCAATTCTGTAAGCTGTGACTTTTAAGCATCATGGCCGCCCTACCCCACATTTATACCACTAACGTTGGGCATATCAAGAGAGAGGCGGGTTTTATTTACTTATTCGTTTTCCTCTTCTGGGGTGAGGGAATATTTATAGGATACATACTGTCAGATAAATCGATACTAAAATCTTTCTACCGAGATTCTTTTATTTTTGCCACAGCTCCATTTCCAAGGTGTTAATATAGATTACTCTTTTTTTTTTTCCCTGCCAGAGATGCATTAGCCCCAAAACTTTCTCTTTATCCTTTTAGGAAATGTTTTCTTTGTTAAACCCAAGCTAAGCAATTTTCTAGTTCTAGTGGATGTCTTCCTAACCAATGATGCCAGTTAATCTCGAAGAATCCATATTGAATGCTGATTATTTGTCCAGGGAACTCATTAGTCAAGGACCATTTTAACATTCCTCAGTAGACCCGGTTTTTTTCCCTTAACCTTAGCAATCTTGTTTCAAATCCAGGACTATAGTCTTCTATTGCATATCCTAATAAGTTTATGGGAAAATCTCGTTGGTAGCCCCTTAAAAACAAAGGTAACTTATGCTACTGCTGCTGGTGTTTCTGCCATTCTGGTGACGGAGGAGAGTGGAATGATGGTGAGTGGCAGAGAAAATGGTTGCTGAATTTGGGCAAGGCAGAAAAGAAATTCCCTGTTGCTGGGAAAGTAACATCCTCATCATCTTCATCTGCATCTTCTCTTTCCATCTCCTGTGGCTACATTGTAAGAGGCTGCGTGGGGTGGGTGGGATAAGCATGGAGGAGGCAACTGTGGTGGTGGTGGCGAAGGTGATGGCGTCGGGATGAGAAGAGATAGAAGACATGGGGGTGGTGGCATATGGAGATAAGAGGGAGGAGTGGTGGCTGGTCAGGTGGGGCAGTGTGGTGGGTTACCTGTTAATGGTATTGGGGATGGAGTGGGGATAAAGGAGAGAGAAGGGGTGCTGGGTGAGGTGATGGTGTTGGTATTGAGGGATTGTTTTGTATCTATAAATATGATATAAAAAAAAAGCCATATTAATGCCTTGTATGACATTAAACAAAAGCACAAGGCCATTTCACATATTATTATTATTATTATTATTATTATTATTTTTTTTTTTTTTTTTTTTTTTTTTTTTTTTTTTTAATGTCCAAAAAATAAGGGGATATGAATGAGAATTTCCCTAAGTTTTTCTATCATGACGACAATCTCTAGACAACTGCATTAGATTTTTTCTTTTTTTTCTAAATGGTTGCTAGCTACAGTAATAGATATTGTCATCTATGATCTTCCAAATAATGGTGAAAACACTAATACTTAGGTTTCCTTTTTTTTTTTTGCAAAATATAACAGAAATCTAGGATTGTAAACTTTGTTGATAGAGGTCCTCCTTCATGGGAACAAGGTTGGCAGTCCGATGGGCTGGAGAGCTCTGTATCTGCGTCTGTGAGGATAGATCCTACAGCTAGGGTTGCTAATACTAGCTCTGTGGATAGTTTACCATCTTCTCAGTTGGCACAGTTAGTAGAAGGTGCTGTAGATGAGTTTGCTGCTCAGGCTCACCCTGAAGAACTTCATGCCTTTACAGATTACCTCAAATCTCAATTTCCCGAGCTTCGAAAAATTAAAAACCCTGGCAAATTTACTGAGAAGAAGGATAAGACTGTACATTCCCTTGAATCATTGGAGAAAGATTTATTTTGTTTTATTCACAAAGAGATTAGTGTTATTCACGATTCTGATTTTATAAGGGATGGTGAAGGATCCTCTTCGGGTAAGAATGCTGCAAACTCATCTTACCGGGACTCCCCGTTGCTCGGAAAATATATAGCTTCTCTTACAAAAGAGTCTAGAGATCCTTTGCAAAACAACAATTCCCGTAGAGTGGAGCCTGCTGTGCAGATTTCGTCTTATAATGAATTTCGCCCCTTGGGTTGTGATGGGATTCATGTTTCCTCCTGTGGCCATGCAGTTCATCAAGGATGTCTTGGTCGTTATTTGTCGTCATTAAAAGAAAGGTGAGTTCTGCTGGCAGTACAACTATCTGAGTGATTACTTTTTCCCCCTTCTGTTTCATTTTTCTGGTAATATTCTAACTCATGCATAATATACCTTTTGCTGTGTTTTTTCTTTTTCACTTGTTAGAAATTTTATATCTGAAGAAGTGTTTAAAATGCTTTTGTGTAAGAACAACAACATTAATAAAGGAAAACATGAAATCTCTTTATAATGATTTATTATACTTTCTCCGTTTTTTTAGCTGCATCACTTTGCAAATTGCAGACTCCTAGGCAACTTTTGGAGATGAGAGATAAACAGAATGAAAGAATGAATCCATGTGACAGGAGAGAGATAGAGTTTATTAACTAAAAAGGAAAGTAATGCATCTAATTTGAAATTTCTGTTTTAGGTTAGTGATGCAACTAAAAAGAAACAGAGGAATTATATTTATATTAGGACAGTTACAATGAGAGCATCCATTGTTGCTCAAGGCATTAGTACATGGGCATAAATTATGTCAGCACAATCAATTTTTTATGGAAAACAGTTGGTGAGAGTATGGTATATTTCTGTGGTGATAGTTTTCTTCTCTTTAATGTCTGGTCATCTTCTTACCCTATTAGTCAGGTCTATTTACAGCTATTTTGATTATTTTGTAATGCAGACTTATCAGAAGAATGGTATTTGAAGGCGGGCATATTGTTGATCCAGATCAAGTACAGTTTATAAGATCTTCTGTACTGTTTTTCTCCAGATTTCTATTATCTTTCACTTATCGCTTTTTTACAGGGTGAGTTTCTCTGTCCAGTATGTCGTCGCCTCGCAAATTCTACGCTACCTGCTGTGCCAGGTGATTCTCATAAACTTTGGGAGCAGCCTACGAATTTCAACATTTCTACAGTGCATCCATTTGGATCTTTGACTGAGTCAAAGAAGGAGAATGGTTCCTTGCAGCTTCAATACACCTTGTCTATTTTACAAACTGCAGCTTCTGCTGTTTCAAGGGGTGAAATGCTTAAGGCTTTGCCTATGCAGAGAAACCGAAGGATTAGGCCTAATCTTGAACCTGTCTTTCAATTGTTAAGTGGAATGTATTTTCCAGATAAACAGGATACGGTTTCAAGGTCGGGGAGGGTGAGCCCTTCTGTTCTTATGTGGGCCACTCTCAAGTATTCTCTTATCTCAACAGAAATTGCTGCTCGCTGTGGAAAGAGCTCTCTTAGTGCAAGAAATGGTCTAAGCTCTCTGTATGATGAATTTAATTCATCTGGTGGATTTATACTTCCGTTGCTGCTGAAAATCATCCAGAGTACTAGAAGCAAAAATTTGCCTGATTTACTTTTAAGATTTAGAGGTCTTCAACTCTTTTCAGAATCCATTTGCTGTGGCCCAACCCATGGTAAGGGCCGCACGGAAGGTATTAGTGGAGAAGGTAAGAGAATTCCTTTCAAATTCTATGTATATTTCCTTCATTTCCGTATTTATCTTAAAACTTGAGTGCATTCCCCTTGTCTTTTTGGATTTTTATCTGATATCAATCATATCATATCAGTGAATATTTGTCCCCCCCCCCCCTCTCTTTATACATCATAAAACTGTATCTGGAATCGAGTGCATTGCTCGTGTTTTTCTGAAGACTCAGCACTGTCATGGTGCCTAGTGTTGTGTGTTCATGTGAGTTAAGGATGTCGTAAAATAAAAGGGGTATAACCTTGAAAGTGTTAAAAGTCTTGGAAGAACCAAAGCTTATAATTCATGTGGATGGACTTTGCATATCTTGCAGACATACCTGCAAGTTTGTGCTTCCCTTGTTGGAGATTTAGGTCTGATTTTGATGTTTCATCTGGCTTCTGCTTATTTTTAGTTTAGAAAATACTTTTTCTTTGAATCCTATTGATGATCTTCCCAAAAGGATGTTTGATTTTGTACCTCTGTTATTCCTTGAGGTAGAGGGAGCTCTCTCTCTCTCTCTGATCTGTTTGGTGGGTTGGGGGGGTGGGGGTGGGGTGGGGTGCAGGTATGGCTGTGGCAGAAGTGGGTCTTACACGGTTCCATTATTGTCTTATGCCCAGATATGTGAATTTTTTTTTTATTATTTTTTTTTTTTTTATTTTTTTTTTTTTTTTCCCCCAGGACATTTCAATAGCTTAAAAAAAGTGTCAAGCCATTTTATGGTGGCGTGATCTAATTTTACATTTTAGTTAAGCATACTCATTACTTCTGACCCATGGCCCTTCTTTGCTTGGATTCTGCCTTCATTGATTTTAAACTTGTAGCTTTAGAACCTATTAGGATATTGACCCTGGGGCCGAGGTAATGTTTCTTGATACTGGTAACTTTGAAGATTTTTCATTATTGATTCGTGTTGTACTGTGTAAAAATTGACGCTTTCTGATGGTGAGAGGCAGTTTACATGGTACTTGATGTGATCAATTTGTCTCTTGTGACTGTATTTTGATTGAAATATTTATGTAACTCTTTACTAAAACTCTCTTACTTTTTTATGAAAAGTTAACTGCTCTCATTTTCTCAACTTGGTTCTTAAATTACTGAGCTTATGTCATGAACATGCTTCATCTGATTTGTTTGATTTTGCAGGGAAACTTTTGTATTTATTAAAACATACGAATGGGGAGACGGAATATCCTGACATGCAATTTTGGGACCAGGCTTCACATCCTGTTCTTATCCATGATCCTTTTTCAACATTGATGTGGATTTTATTTTGCTTGCCCTATCCATTCTTGTCATCAAAAGAGTGTTTCTTATCGCTTGTGCATACCTTTTATGGTGTTTCTATCATTCAGGTAAGATTTAAATTAATAATATAGGTGCTGCAACCTTTGATTCAGCATGTTCATCTCTAAATACTTTCAAATCTCTGCAGGCTATAATTACTTACTGCTCATATTCACAATGCAACGTTACTGATTTAGGCTTCCATGATTGCCTGGTTGCTGATATTGCCAAGTTAGCTGGAAAATCTGCCGTTGCAAAGAAATTTTTTGTTTCAAAATATGTTGATCCTTCTTGTCATGTCAAAGACGTGATTGATAATTTAAGCTTACCATATCTGCGAAGATGTCTGTTGTTATGGAAACTTCTGAAGTGTTCTGCAATTTCACCTTCCCTTTCAAGGGCTGGCGACTTTGATAAATCATTAGATATCTCTGATTGTCAGGAGGCTACTGGTATTGTGGCGGATAGGGATGAGATTAATGAATTACGCAACATGTTTGGAATTCCTCCTATGGATATTGTTCTTAAAGATGGAGGTTTACGTTCTATGATGTTAAAATGGTTTCATCATTTTTCTAAAGAGTTTGAAGATCATTGTGTCCAGCGTGTTCTGCATTCAACTCCAGCTGTTCCATTTCAGCTGATGCGTCTTCCTGTTGTTTATCAGGATCTTGTGCAGAGGTATCCTTTCTTTTTGTTGCTTTATTCTAGTTTTCTTTTGCTGTTTTTATTTACAAACCCCTGCTTACTAGTACTCATGGAAAATATTGAACTAAACTCGTGTCGTTCTGTAACGGATTTTGGAGATGCCATTCCTTGAACTTCTGCAATATAACACGTCTTTCTTGCTGTGAGTCCCATCTTATAGTGGTGACTTGCCGCGTTAGAATGTTTTTTCCCCTGATATGTCTATTCTTTTGTCAAAATTGGCAAAATTACATTAACTAATTAAGTAATAAATAATTACCAAATAAATTAACCACTTATATAGTGATAGGTTTGGTTATATCATGTTAGAATACTTAAACTAATATTCAAATGTAAATGAGGCTATAACCCATCATTGTGAAAATTTTCATACACCGCGTTGGCCGCATCCGTTACAAGCCACTTCTACTACAGAATAACTGTTATCGTGATCGTGACTGCATCTTCAACTCTTTCCTTGCTATTACTATTATGCTAGTTAGTATTTTACTTTTATCATAATTGGTGCTCCTGTTGAATCCAGCTGTTGAATTAGTATTAAGCCTTTTTGTAATTATATAATATATTTTTATCATAGTTATTGTTCCTGTTGAATCCAACTGTATATTTATGCCAATGTGTATGTTTACCTTGGTTCTATGCTAAAGATCTTAATGAATTGACACCTTCTCATTCAGGTATATAAAAGTTCGATGCCCTAATTGTGAAACTGTGCAAGATGAACCTGCTTTATGCCTTTTGTGTGGTAGACTGTGCTCTCCAGCTTGGAAGTCCTGCTGCAGGTCCAGTATTTATTTTTCATTCTTACTGAATCAGTAGTCTTGATTTTTATATATCAAACTGTTTTGTTATGGCTTCTTTCTGATATTATTGCTCTCTATAGTGAAAGTGGATGTCAAGCTCATGCAGCATCCTGTGGTGCTGGGACTGGGGTGTTCCTCTTAATCAGGGTAGGGGTTCCATGACTTTTCTACGCTATGACATATTCATTGTTAAAGTTGTCTTCCTATTGTCAAGTTGCTCCCTTTTTATATGGACTTCATGCCTTTCCCCTTCCACCCCCCCACCCCCCCCACCCCCCTCCCCCAACAAATTTTTTTTGGGCCGTGTAGGTTTTTGCTAACTTATATTCTTACCTCTGTGAATAGAAAACAACGATATTGCTTCAGAGAAATGCACGCCAAGCTCCTTGGCCCTCGCCTTACCTTGATGCATATGGTGAAGAGGTACCGGAGATTTATTTGCTCAAGTTGCTCATATAGTTTCTCTTTGTGGAGTACATTCACTTACTTTATGTTGATGTTTGGATTGAACAAATGTTATATAGGGCACATTAATTCTATAGGTCAGATAAATAGGCTGTAATAAGCTGTATGTATTATAAATCAAGAAATTTGCAATGTAGAGAACTTTTGGGTTATCATTATCTTAGCTCATTGTACTATTTTACTTTGCAGGATGTTGAAATGCATCGGGGCAAGCCATTGTTCCTGAATGAAGAACGTTATGCAGCTTTGACATACATGGTGAGGGGTGAAAGTCTACTATATATTACTTGATCTTTGATTGTTTTCCATCATGTCTTATTACAACAATTCTATGTCAACTTTTGGCACACTAACACTTTTTCATTTAGGTGGCTTCTCATGGCCTCGATCGAAGTTCTAAAGTTCTTCGTCAAACCACAATTGGCACCTTCTTCATGGTTTAACTCTCAAAATGGTACTTCAAAACTTTAGGTGTGATAACTATCCTGATTTGTGTAATTTTTGAGTTATATTTGTTTACTGAAATTTATGATTAATGTCACATATGTGTTGTGTTCTGCAAGAGCATTGTAGATGATATGATATTAAAGGGTAGGAGAATAGGAGATGTAAAGATTCCGCAGGGTCCTTAACTACACTCAAACCCTTGACCTGCAGAGCCCTCGTGCTGGTCAATCATGTAAGGTTCTTCCATTTTTTTTCATTTCTGTAATTTGTATTGTTTATTGTTTTTCTTGAGTAATAGTTTTCGTAATTGCCTGTAAATCATTTGCTAAGTTTCATGGGGCAGCTGTTCCAAATGCCCTAATGTACGAGTCCTGGGAATAACAAACATTAGTGCTTTGAGTCCAACAACTACAAAGGGTGTAGTTGTAGTCTGTTAGTTACGATGAGCTAGTTTACTTCTTGCAAAAATGAGACATAAGCTTTCCTTGGGGTGTGGTATGAGGCAACCCTCTTCACTGAATGCTAGTTTCAAGAGAGAAGATAAAAATGAGCATGTTAAGCTCACATTGAGAAGGTTGACTAATTTCTGCCATGGTAAGGAACTGCTGATTATGATAGGGTGTGATTTAGGTGTAGCCAAGGGTGTGTGACTGTGTTCTCCTCACTTGAATTTTACTTATCCATACTTATTAGCCCCTAGTATAGCTTAACCTATTGGCTCTAGACTTTACTTAAATGAACTTGTAATTGTGAATTGAAATTGGGTATCCCTTATTGGCACTGAACTTTATCTTTTTTCCTGAAATTGAAACTTGAGTAAGTGAATTGAACTTTTGGCAAGCCCTTATTGCCCCGAACTTCACAGAACTTATTTTCCTAAAATAAGTGTAAATAAAGTGGGGAGGAGTGGGCTTAATGAGCCAATGTTCTCCTTTTTGCTCAAATATATCCTATACTGCCCATTTCAATAAAAAGGCTTATGTGGCATGATGCTCATATGCACCCAAAACCATTTGTTTGGTAAAATTTGCACTTGGTAAAATATTTCCAAAATGCTAATTCTTTTCCCTTGTGCATCTCTCCTAATCCCTCCCTAAATGGTCTTTCTCCTGAAGAGTAGTGATTTTTCATGTTGGTGTCCTTGTTTTGAATTGCTTGTACATAAATGATGAGTTTTTTTGGGTATAAAGAACCGTAGACAAAACTGATGGTATTTTCTGTCTATTCATGGTAATTTACAAATAATCTGTCTAACCATGGTATTTTTCTTCTATATTTTCAATGTGTACACATTAAAGTTGAACTCCAAGTGCTTGGTGGAGTTTTCAGTTGGGAGGCCTTGTAATTCTTACACTTTATAGTTAGATTGTTGGTAGAAGACCTGTCTGCTTTCCGCATTTTGTCCAATTGCTTAAGCGAATCCAAACATCAAACTACCAGTTTGATGGGAGGTAATGAATGGTGGTAATGATAATGAGATATGAGTTATTTTGCAAGGAAAATCTCATGGAGATGTTTGTTAATGATTCTTCAAGTCTCATTTTCATCATGTACACTTTATCCTGTTTATTTTATTTTATTTTGTTTTATTTTATTTTTTGGGAAATAATTGCACCTTTAGAGTTTCTAGCTTACTTATGCACGAGTTTAGCCATTACTATCTTTAATTATACATTGTAAAATTTATATTTCTCCCTCCGTGTTTTTATTAAGTGTTACACTTACCAAATGTGGCCGTGTTTTAATAAGTTTTACGCTTCCTTTTTTGGCTACATTATACGGAGTAATATTAATCTTTCTTTTATCATGATCCCCACCCAAATCCACTATTATTTTATTTTTTATTATTTTTTTCCTCTCAAATTCATTACTTTTCAATAAACTATTGACTCCATTATCTTTCTTTTACAGTTTTTTAATACACCAACTACCCCACTTACCTCTTATTCCCTCCGTCCCTTAATGAGAGTCCCTTTTGGCCAAATTTTAGTCCCAAAATGTTCACCCCATTTGTTTTTTTTCAAACCATCAATATTAATTTTTTACCAAAATTCCCTCCAATTTGCAACAATATTTGTGCAAATTTAGCTTCCCTGTGTAGATTTTGTATTTCCATATACTTTTATTACTTTCTCTCTCTACTTTCTTGCATAACACATGTAAATTTACCTTTCCAATGTACTTTTACTACTTATTTAAGTTTCTTAATTCCCGTGAAATTTCACCAAAAGGGACTATCACTAATGGACTGAGGGAGTATTTTATTTAAGTCAATTAAATTGCCTAAAATTATGTGTCGGTTAAAGTGTAACACTTATTGAAACACAGAGGGAGTAAGTTGCTATTTTGACTATTTGTTCTTGCATAAGAATCCAAAAAAGATTGGTATGTGTGAATTGTGTAAATGTCCAAGGAGGAAGTATGTATTTCCCCTCACTCCCAGTCACACTTCTGTAAATGCTATAAACGGTGATGAAAATTTATGAAGAAAAACACGTACTTGGGCTAATTGGGTATAATTTTGCTTACACAAATATTGCATTAAGTTTTTAAACAGACAAATTGAGATATTTAGTTAACTATGTAATGGAGGGAATTTTATTTTTTTCCTTTTGATGCTCGATTCGACTGTAATTGAGGATGGCCTGCTAGTCTGGGATTTTCGAGTTTTATCTAGTGCTCTTTCAATCTATTATAGGTTTCTGCATAATGAGCATGGCTTTCTATGCTAACTCATTTCTTTTTTTTATTTGCATCAACTATTGATCTATGAGTATTATGGTGCTGCACGTATTCACTATATATATATTTCAATTAACCTTCATTTTTAGCTTAGAAGATGTTTGTTGTTACTGTTTCGTTTGTCTTTCCTTTTACAGAGGAACCTTCAGCTTATTTGTAGTTTTTTTTTTTTTTTCAATCGTCTAATGCAGTAATTATGCAACTTATAAGCTTGACTTTTATGGATGCTGATGGATGATTCAACTATGTGGCAGGGCTTAGGAAGTTAGGATTACAGCAAGTGAAGAGATGTTGGGTTTAATGTCTCATATATGCCACTGTTGGTCTGTTGTAAAAAATGACTTGTTACATATGCTAGCTTTTATGCTCCCATGTAAAGTTATCTCATTTTTTCAATATTATTTTGTTTATTTATGATTGATGTTAATCTTGGCTTCAATGTAAATTATTGTGCATAAGAGGATCTGCTTGCTGTTGAATATGTTATTTTAGTCGCAACTTTCAATATGTTCATGTATCAGGATCTCTAATCTCTTCAATTCTTTGGGTGCGTTTTATTTTCTTTATATTTGAAATTGTTTGATCTTATTAGAAATTACTTTAGTTATAAATTGAATTTGACCAACCCTTATGGACTTTAGTCGGGAACTTGTTTTCAGTTTATCTAGAACTTATGGAAATAAGGTGAATAGAATGGGGCCTTAAAGAATCCTAGTCCTAATTTCTAGCATACGCTAGTCACTCACTCCTATAGTCCTATTGTTCCAAGTATTGTAGGGTTTGTACCACAGGCATATCCAAAGTTTCATAACTAGTAGTATGTAGGATAATATGTGGTCATGGCAGATACCTGTATGATGCGCATCGTGCATCCCCTCCAAAACGACACCTGTTTGTAAATAAAACGCGGAGGTATTTTGGTTGCTTAGATAATTTTTAAAAAAAAAGCGGAAAGAACATATACCCTGAAGCAAAAGAACATGGGTGTTTAAAAGAACATACCGTTGGTTTATAAAGAACGCGAAAATAAAGTAAGCTTTTTTTTTAAAAAAAAGGCGAGAAAAAGTAATTTAATTTTTATTAGGCAATTTTGACATATCATTTCAATTTGTTGAGTTTACCAAAAGAGAACGTATTATAGGGTGCGGCTTGTTTCGGGGTTTTTGGAGTCCCTCGGGAGACTTACAATACTGAGTATGCGCGCCTGACGTCCTTACCTGCAAAACCACGAAACTCCGGTTGGGTGGAGTTCCGCCTCCGACGATCAAGTTAGTATGATTCCGGATGGGTAAAAGTGCGGAAAGTAAATGGGTTTTTTCTCACTGATTCAGAGAGATTCCGCAATTAATATTGCTCGAGTTTTGTGTTTGTATTTATGAATGTGTAATAAATGAGGAATTTCCTCTATTTATAGCAGATGAGGATCTGCTGCCCCATTGGGGGTACAATGCCACGTGTCAGCATTCGATTGGATCCCGTTGGGCCTCTAGTGGGCTGCCACGTGTCATCATGCTATTGGGCAACGTGGCATAGGGTATTTTTACCCTAAACACGGTTGGACTAACGAAACACTTCGTGCGTTAAAACCCAAACCCACGAATTAAAAAAAGGCACGTGTTTGAATCCCGATTTTACCGGGCTTTGCGGGCTCGATTAAAAAAAGGTGCGGATATCATCTACTTTTTAAAGACTAGATGATATCATCCAAAGACTTGATGATATCCTCGAAAGACTAAAACTAGCTGATTTCCTCCTAAGTTAAGATGATATCTTTAAAAGACTAGATTGTATCATTCAACAAGAGACTAACATTATCTAAAGACTAGATGATATCATCCAAAGACCGGATGATATCCTCTAAAGACCCTAAATGACACATTGATTAAAAAAAAAAAAAAGAAAAAAAAAACGACATATAATTTGACGCCCCTCTATATAAAGTACAATTTTCTTTATCAAAGCTTTACTTCAAATCTATCCTTTTTTTCAAATCTATCCTTCTTTATCAACGACCCTAAACCTAATTTTTTCTGCAAAAATGGAAAACAAAAAATCATCACGAAATAAAATAAAAAAAAAGTACGATTCGGTTGTTACTGAAGACAATGATATAAAATCATTGGAGATCCATTTGGACTATCTCAAGGGTCAATTACAGGGAGCCATTGATAGATGCAATGCTGAGGAAAAGCTTTGTATTGATTTAACGATGGAAGTGAACAAGATTGAAAACCTAGTGAAAGAGAAGAAGAAAAAGGAGTGGGAAGATGATATTGCTGCTGTTGTAGAGGAATCTGAAAGAATTTGGGAGGAAATGCAGAAGAATAAGAGGGTGGTTGGACAATCCTCAAAGTAGTTATCCTTCATTGTATCTCTTCTTTTCATCAGTTTTGGAGAACTCACTAAGGGAGTGTAACTGCGTTTCTTTTATTTTTTTTCAACTTCAAAGGCAACATCTTTTAACTTTGAGCGTGCAGGACAATACCTACAAACAACACTCTTTCATTTCCCAACTTCTCTAAAACATCCAAATTTTAAAAAATGGGATGTTTTAGAGAACTTGGATAGTAAAAGAGTGTGGTTTGTAAGTATTGTTTGCATATCATATCCTCTGAGAAACTTAAACAAACCTACCTCAAATCCTGAAACATATATATTATATCCTCAATCGAGAATGACAAATCCTCAAACCACATATATCATATTTTCTTATTAATAAATTATATCCTCTGATTAGTTAAAAGAATCTAACAAACCTACCTAAAATTATAAAACCAAATCCTCAAATACATATAACATATCCTCGATCGAGAAAAACAAAACCTCAAACCCTTATATCATATCCTCTTAGAAACTTAAACAAACCTACCTCAATTTAAAATCATTAAAAACAAATCTTGAAACATATATATCATATCCTCAATCAAGAATGACAAATCCTCAAACAACATATATCATATTTTCTTATAAATAAATTATATCCTCTGATCAGTTAAATGAATCTAGCAAACCTACCTAATATTATAAAACCAAATCCTCAAACACATATAACATATCCTCAATTGAGTAAAACAAAACCTCAAACTCTTATATCATATCTCTGAGAAACTTAAACAAACCTACCTCAATTTAAAACCTATAGAAATAAATCCTGAAACACATATATCATATCCTCAATCGAGAAATACTAATCCTCAAACCGCATATATCATATCCTCTTATAAAGAAATTATATCCTCTGATTATATGAAAGAATATAACAAATCTACCTCAAACACATATATTATATCCTCAATCAAGTTAAACAAATCCTCACAGCTTTATATCATATACTCTGAGAAACTTAAACAAACCTACCTGAACTTAAAAATCAATGAAAACAAATCCTAAATTACATATTACATATCCTCAATCAAGGGAAAAAAAAAATCCTCACACATATATATCATATCCCTTTATAAATAAACTATATCATCTAAATCAGTTTAACAAACCTACCTCAACTTAAAAAAAAAAAGTGCGGGTTTAAGCTCGACCAAAACAGGGTCGTGGGCATATATATTATAAATAAAAAATAATAATAATAAAAAAACCCTAGGTTTTCATGCCGATATTTTTCGTTCAAAAAAATCAACAGAAAAGTGGAATATCGATGGAAGAAAACTTAGAAAATTATTAACAAAATGAATCAAATGATAAACAAAATGCAAAAAAAAAAAAAAAAAAAAAAAATCAACAGAATAAATTAATTTCCCCAAATTTATCTGCATCGATGTCAAAAATTATAGAAGCTCGATTGAAGAAAATGAAGCAAATGCTCCGAAAATTGAATCAAATGCTCAACAAGAACAGAATGATCCTGAAAAAGTATCAATTTCTCCTTATGAATCTACTGTAACATCTGAAAAAATAGGTATTTTGATCTAAATTTTTTGCTTCATTTGAAAATGTATGTACATTGATTTTTTAATACTTTCTCCGTCCCTTATGTACATGCCTATCTTCCATTTTTTCACAGGAATTAAGAAACTTGGAGATTCCTTAAAATCCATGATTAGGAAGTACAAATATGCATGTGGGGTTAGAGAGAGATAGAGAGAAAGAAAAAATAGTTGGTAATTATTGAAGAGAGGGAGAGAGAAAGTGTTGGAAAATGATGTCAAAAAGTACAAAAAAAAATTAAATAAATAAAATGATGACAACTCATCAAAAAGTGAGAATATTGTCAAAAAGTAAATTCTTTAAATAGAAATAGGCATGTCGTTTTGAAACCCCAAAAAAAGGAAAGTAGGCCTGTAGATAATGGACGGAGGGAGTAGTATATTTTAATGTTCATATGCATCTGAAAATATAGGTATTGTGATCTAGAAACAAAAACTTTAGGTAAAAATAGAGCATCATATATACAACAGATCATATAATCTATAATAGAATAGATGATATCATGTTGAATATAGATGATATCCTCTATAATAAATTTGATAACCTCATTACTACATTTGATATCATCTTTCGTACAGAACATATCATGTTATCCAATGAATAAAGAATATCTTCCATAAAACAAATAATAACTTCAATACTACTTTTGATATACTCTCTAGGAATATATGATAACCTCATTAATAATTTTGAATCATAATTCCCTAGAGAGTATATCATGCGTACAATACAGGATGTCATCCATATAAGTAGAGGATAAAATGCGTAAAATAGAGGATAACATTAATTACATAGAGGAAATAATTAATATTAAAGATTCTCTATAACTTATTAAATATATTTTCAAATTGCAGATTTGGAATATTTCATATATGATAATGATGAAAACATCAAGTTATCTTTGATGGGAAGAGTTGTTAATGATCGTGAGGATGTGTTGCGTTTGTACAAAGCTCATTCAAGAGCAATTGGATTCAGTGTAAGAAAAAATACTCTTAGGCGAGATAAAAAAAAAAGAAGGAATAATAAAAGATTTTTTCTTTTGCTGCTCAAATTAAGACGTTATATGGTACAGAGAAAGGAAAAAGAAAAGGAGATAGCAGATACAGAATTCATAACAGAGAAAAAAGAGCCATCAAAGAAGAGAAAAGTAAGGTGTGTTAATAAGACTAGAACTGGTTGTAGGGCTAATATAAGATTCAAGAGGATATAATCTGGAGAGTATTGTGTTATTCAACACAATATAAAATACAATCATAATTTGGTTAATCCTTCATAAAGGCATCACTTGAAATCTGAAAGAAATGTAAAAGAAGAGATAGGATGGGTGATTGAAAAGATGGTAGAGAGTGGAATTAAACCAATGGACTGCTATAAGTTTCTTAAAAGAGAAGTAGTATTAGAGGAAGCTTTAGGACACACAAACAGAGATCTATTAAACTATGTAACTAGCTATAAATCTAAACTAATTGAAGGAGGTGATATGCAAAGTGTACTGGACACACTACAAGAGAGGGCAGAATCAGCTTCTTCATTCTTTTAAAGATTAAAGTTTGGTGAAACTGATCATATAGTAAGTTATTTTTGG